ACGTCTTGAGGACAACCTCACGGCTAATCGGATCGAGATTTCCGGTCGGTTCATCCGCCAAGATAATTTGAGGATCGTTTACCAAGGTTCGTGCCAAAGCCACACGCTGTTGCTGACCGACACTCAATTCCGAAGGCTTGTGGTGGAGTCGTTCCTCTAGCCCTAGGTGGGTTAACAGTTGCGTAGCCCGTTCCTGCTGGAGTTCCGCGGACATCGCGGAAAAGCTCAGTGACACCTGCACATTTTGTAGTGCCGACAGGTACGGGATCAGATTGAAGCTCTGGAACACAAAGCCCATCTTCTGACCGCGTAACGCCGAGCGCTGCGTTACCGATTGCTCGTACAGCGAGACATCGTCGACCAGCACACGACCCGTCGTCGGTGAAAGCATGCCTCCGAGCATCGAAAGCAGCGTCGTCTTTCCGCTCCCGCTCGGACCAACAATCGCTACGTAATCTCCATTTTCGATTTTTACGCTGTCGCAACGAAACGCCGTCAACGCTTGACCGCGTCGCGTGTACTCCTTACTGATTGTTTCAAGTTGAATCATGGGTTAAACCTCCCGGAAACAGATGCATGGATCGAGGTGAGCAGCTTTTTGGGCAGGCCACCAGGCTGCGATAACTGCGACGAACGTGGCAATCAGGACGGAAAGCATCGAAGTGCCCAGCAAAGGGCTGATCGATACGCCCGCCCAGACGGGGCCAGCAATCACGGCCGCCACAACTCCGATCAGGCATCCCAGCGTTCCCGCTCCGAGACCCAAAATTAGTGCCTTGCCGAGAAATAGTTTCTGGATGTAACTCGGTGTAGCACCCAGGGCCATGAGCGTACCAATCTCGCGACGACGTTCTCGTACGTTTGCCGCGATAACTCCAGCCAAACCAACGCCTCCGACGATCACTAAGACGGCCAGAACAATCCACGACGTCTTGGCCATCAGTTGGTTGACACCAACCTGGGTTTCGACGACCTGTAAAATCGTCACGACTTTAGCATCGGGCAGAAGCTCACGAAGCTGCGGCACCAGGCCACCGGCTGCATCTTCACAGCAGCCAACAATCTCGATCGCATTGCAAGTGGAATCTTTCTTCCAGATTCGCTGGATCGAATGAAGGTGGGCGAAGATCCGACCATCATCCACCGTGCCCGTGGCAGGTAGGACACCGATCACGGTAAACGTTTCATCGATCAGCTTCAGGCGATCATCCACGTTGCAGTTCAGCTTCTTGGCGATATCAGCTCCAAGGATGATCGCGTGCGTATCGAGGTTCTGGATCGCTCGATATTTGACCAAGGCCTCGGGAGACTTCAAATCGTCGGTTGTCGCGACGTTCGCCTTGAGGCAACAGCCAGAGTCGGTCGGGTTCATGAACGAGGTCGTTGCCTGCCAAGTTGCCAGCGTCTCGACCTCGGACTGAGGAAGAATCCCCGTAATTGCCACCGAATGCCCATGAAGTTCTGTGGTAACGTTTAACCGCGGGGAAACCTGCTCGATACCGGATAACCCGGAGAGAAAGACTTCCGCCACATACTCCTCAGGAAGTGTGCCGCCATTTTGGTCGGCCGCATAGTAATCTTGAAGGGTCGCCTCCTTGGGTAGCACGAGGATATTGGCTCCCAAATTGGTCAATTGGTTCGCTACCGCCTCTTCGGAATAAACCGTAACGTGTCGGATCGCCACTAACGCAGCGACCCCTAAGAGTATTGTCAGGCTGTTGAAAGCGACCGTTGTCGGCCGCGATTTCAACTCTTGCCAGATTAAAGAACGAAGGTTCATCGTTTTTCCCTATCTAATGAGCTTAGCGGCGTGTGGGAGTAGACTGCGATGCCTGGGCTGAAGCGGAGTGCTTGCAGTTGGGATCTTCACAGCACTGGCCAGCCTTGTGGATTGCAGCGGCGATCTGATCGGCCGATGACGTACCATTGAAGTGGCCAACAAGAACGCCTGGTGGTGCAATCAGGGCGGCATAAGGACCTTGAACTTGGTTTACATCGACCTTGAGTTGCTGCATCAGTCTCGCTTCGGCTGTGTTCTGGACATTCAAGGCGACCAGTGCCATGCGATCCTTGAATTGCGAGTCTAACTGAAGGGCGCGTACTCCGGCTGGAACGGCAGCCTGTTCTGATTGGGTCAGGCACACGAACACGAGCTTTTGATCCTGCAACTGCTTCATACACTCCATCATCACGGGAGGCACGACGGCCGCGTCGAGATTAGCATTGGCAACCTGCCTGGGGAACAATCCTGTAACGGCACCGTTGGGAGCGACGGCCACGGTAATCGGCATCGGGGCTCGGCTGACGTTGAACTGCTCCGCCATTGCCTGCCCCTCAGGGGCCGTCACACTCGCCGCGG